AAAGGCCGTTCTTCAACCAAATTTTAAAATAGAGCGTTCTTGGAAAGTTTTCTGCGATAGGGCGTTTTCGAACCGTCTGCCTTGATAAGTCGATCTTCCACTCAGCCGTCGACATATTAGGGTGATTGACTCGATTGTTTTTCGGACCGGTTTCAACCAGTATTTCTTTGAATAGTTTTGAGCTGTTTTTTGAAATCTTGATTTTTCTTAAACCGGATATTTATAATCGGATAGACCGGGTTGTCACCTATATATGTATTTAGTTTATTTCCATGCCAGAATCTAAAAATTCTTAAACTCAAATTCATCAAAAATAGAGAAGACTTTTAGAGCTTTATAAATCGAAAATCTTTATCAAAATATCACTTTATAAAGCTCTTTATATCTATTTTAGCTATTATGAATACGGCCATTAATATTTATTTTTATTAAAAATGGAATTACATACTTAGAACATTTTCGTAAATTATAAATCTGAACACTGAGAAATTTTCCACTGTAGAAAATTGCTTAAACAAGTAATTTTTAAGCAAAAAACACAACCGACTTCAATTCTCATATAAAAATTTAGGAATACCGTTCCAATGATCGGATCTAAACCAAATTAGTACGGGACCACCTGTGAGACGCTACCTTTCCGATGGAAAAAGAATTATCGAAATCGGTGGTCCAAAGTTATGCGGTAAGATACATAAAAAAATGTATATATTCTGACGAATTGATAACCTTCTGCTTTTTTGAAGTCGGTTAAAAAGACGTAACAACATCGTAACTGAAATGAAAAAAGTCGTAACTAATATATATATATTTTTTTCATAAATTGATTGGGGAGTTGTAATTCGATGAAATCCATCTATCAATCAAATACTTAATTTGAATTTTTTATTAGTTGCGAATTTTTGTATTTCAGCGACGATGTTTGTTACGTCTTTTTGCATTTCAGGTGCCGAAATCCGACAAAAAATTTCTCAAAAGGCTGGATTCCCCGCTTCCCGCAATTTCTCATTTCTCACACTACTCAAAAAAATTAATGGGGGTTTAAAAAAATGAAACTAAACCTAAATTTAGACAAGAAATGTGAAAATTAGAACGTTAAAGCTTCAAAATGCTACAGCCTGTTAAAAATCACCGAAAATTTTGGATTTTATTTTCTCCGTTAATTTTTTTAAGTAGTGTATTATCTGCCTACATTGGTAGGAAAGGCCAAGCCAACATTTTTATTCTGTACTATCAAAGCCAGGCAAATTTTCGTGGACCCCCACTTACAACTCTTGAACGTCCATATTTTTCACGCTGACGTAGATCCCCGTCGAGCCCACTTTGGGAATCACCGATCTAAATTAACGATTTGCTGCAACTTAAATGAATATCACAAACTTTAATATAGATATATAATAACCAATATTTGGCAACTAACTGTCAGTTTTCGAAACCAAACTATTTTCTCGGTGTATACACTTAGAAAAAAATCTTAACCCAATTATATAATATGTTACCAAATCATGTGTTCTTTCAGAACCTTATACTTGGAAGAGAATTTCATCTTTTTGGAATGCATATCAAGTACTGGACGCATTAACAATGGCAGTCTGGCATTTAATAATGCAAAAATAGTTTTGCGAAAATTGGCACAATTTCATGCTACTTCATTGGTGTATTTAAAAAAGGTTAGACAGTGAGACATACTATGTTTTGTATTTATGTATATACATATGTACGTTCAATCACTCTTTCTGTTAAAGCTTCCCGTAGATGATGTTATATCTGAGACTTCGCCCCTATTGGCTAATGATGAGGTGGAAACCCGCATGAATGCTGCCATTAAAACTATAGAAGCATACTGGCCCGAATTTAAAGAAATCGCTACAAAAATGCGCAGCTGTGTGGAAACATTTCGCAAACGTTTAACTCATCTGTTGGATAAAAATGGGCAAACGTTGAAAGTTATCGCACTTGGTGAACCATACATGAAAAATATGCATTTCCAATACACTGGAAATGATGTTGAAGATGTTGTGTTTGTATGTAATTTTAATATATGCACTTATATGTACATGTATGTATCTACACTAAGGTGGTCCAAAAATGCATGTGAAAGAGTAAAGTGAGAATTGTAATGTCTCACCCTCTAGGACTTTTCTATACTGAAAAATTTACAGCCCCGTGTTTTTTATTTTGAGATAAAAAAAAAACAATTTTTCGTAGAAATGGGATAGAATTCTTGAAATAAATATTTTTCGATAGTAAAACTCGGCTTTTCTGCAGGAGACTTCCAATAACAATACCCAATTGCTTATGTTACCTTTTTTTTGGGGTAAATAAACAAACGGTTATTATTATCGGGAGTTTTCTGAAGTGAATCATAGTTTTCCGTTCGATTGATTTTCAAGAATTCTTCTTTTTTTTTTGAACCACCCTGATGCGTACATACATATGTATATGGGCATTGATGCAAATTTTAATTTTATATTTTTATTTTGGCAGAGTAACTTCAGTAATTGCTTCGTTGGCAGTTGTGGCTACGATTTAAATTTATTCCTCAATACCTGTTTGAACTTCGATGCTCTGACTCGGGAACGTTATAAACTTCTTCATTGCTACTATGAACATTTCTCCGGAACATTGAAATCTTTAAACGAAAACTCCATTCCCAGTTGGCAAACAATTTTGGATGACGTGCACAAATTTGAACTTATCGGTTTTTATGGTTTACTTTGTGAAATGCCATTTTGTAGTGAGAAAAACGATCTTCCGAAATGCTATATGCTGGACGAAATGAAAACTGAGGGAGTTATGCCAATTTCCCTTGAACAAGAGTATAAGTTTTTATTTAAAAGTGCACGCGTTGAAGATATGCTCAAGTATGGATTGTACCGTTTTAATGAAATTCGTGTATGGGATTACAAAACAAATTGGGAGAAAAAACCGCAGAGCGTGAGTGATTTCGAATTGGATGCA